AAACCCTAAACCCCAAGCCCTAGAACCTTAAGCCCTAAACCCTAAGCCCTAAAGCCCTAAACCCTAAACCCAGTCTCAAGGCATCTTCACTTGGACCCAGATCCGCTGTTCCGTCCGTTTGGGTTTCCTTCACCTACCCTCTATTTGGGCCTAAGTACCCCTTCTTAGGGGCCATATATCCCCAACTGAGGGTACAAAGAAGGTGTTGGTAGGGCTCCAAATAACCTAACCTAGGTATACTTTATAGACTTGGTGACCCAAGATACGTATTATTTGTAGACTTAGAGGTGCAGGGACAGGAACCATCTAAGCGTAACAAACAGGAGGAACAACTGAAGAAAGACTTGTGAAGCGAGCACATGTAAGCGCTGCAAAATCTGTAATATAAACCTGGCTCTGTCCCTTAGTTGGATAATAGCTAGATTGCTTCCTAAGCTCCACCGGGACCCTGAGTTCCGGAACCGAATCCCCCGAAACGAACACCTACTGTTGATTGCCCAAATTCCTTGAGGACCGTAATGTGCTACCATATTCTTGAGGTTTAGGGACATGGGCTCGTACAGTGTAACATTCATATAGACCCCAATATATGAGAGTCCTTATTCTTGGCACCCCCAATAGAAAGGAAAGGACCCCTAGTTTCGGGAAACCTTGATTGAGCTCCATGTATCCCAATGTTCCCCTACAAAACCCCTGCACTCCCCTTACAGGGACCATCAATAGCATCCCTAAACCCTAAACCCATGATAGCATCCCTGAACCATGTGTCCTTCAGCGGTTCTCGCTTGTGAAGGTCAATGAAGGTGAGCTGAAAAAGAAACCTTTCGCTGAAGTTGCCGAAAGCGGTTCAGGGTTCAGGGTTGAGGATTTTGTGTTTAGGGTTCAGGGTTTCCAGGAAAACCCTCTGATCATCTCAAGAAGGGTACTCCTTTGCTGAACACCGCCGAACAGGGAACTTTCTGAGAGATAACACATGAGCACGCTGTTGGCATCCACCAGTTCAATTCCTACCGCCGTATAGAGAGTTGATGCCTTGAGGTCGTGAACACTCAGACCGCTGAAGGTCAGAGTGCCCCACGAAGCGACCCAATCCGATCAACTCCCAAATCGCTAATCCCTAAGACCCTGCACCCTTTAGGGTTTAGGATCTGGGGTTGTATGTTGAAAGCCACCACATACCGAAAAACAAAAAACAGTAAAACAATTCAAAGTTCCTCGAGGGGCCAGGTTCCGATGTACATCAGAAGTGCAGTGACAATTCCAGTCCAGACCTCACGAGAGTTTGGTCTGGGGTTAGTCCACTGTTGGATAGGGGTTAGGTATGGTTAGGTGTTCTAGGGAAGGTCTGATGTTGAATACGGTTTGGAAAATATGGTTAGGCATTAGCGTTGAGGGGCTAGGAAACGGAAAAATAAAATCAAAAACACAATTTTGTAGCGTTTAGGAATTCAGATGTGCGGCTTAGGCGCCGAAATATACAATTGGAATGATGGAGAACTAAATGGGAGACACAGATTAAAGATGAAATGGACATGAGGGGAAACGAGCCAAATGCGGCCTTGGTGTCTCTGCATCTCCTTGTAAATATCTAGACCCTCCAGCTACCTTCTATCAGAACCCAAGTGCACGCTTTTAGGGGTTTTATGCCCCCAAGTACGGGTACTAGGAGGGTCTTGATATGTATAGATTCGAATTGAAGATCTTAATTCGAAAGATAACGAAGACTGAACATAAACAATACATGGAAGCTGGGTGTATGAAGGATTGTGGGGTGCTTCAGGTGCTAGAGGGATAGCAGGGGCTTAGAGGGTTCAGGGGATGCAGTAGTAGGATTCGTGAGTTTACGGGTTAAGCGGATTGGGATTGAGTCTAGGTTGAGGGAGCTTAGGTGCCCTAACCCTAAACCACGGTTTAGGGTTTAGGGTTTAGGGAAGGTTGCTCGTGTTCAGCAAGTTGTCAATGCTGCAGTTTAAATCTTACATGCCAAGTATATGAACATGCTTTTCACAAGCAATTCCCCGTGGCGGTATGCACATCACCGCACCTACCTTCGCCAAAGTTTGTTGAAGCGCTCAGCGTCCTTTCCGCCACAATGCTGTGAAGCTTGAATGGGAGAATGCAATACGCAAATCCCCAACCCTAAGCCCCTGAACCCTGTCCTTACATTCTCCCTACAAGCTACTTCAAGCTACTCCATCTTTGAACAATTGCCAGCAGTCAGAGTGAGATGGGCAGTTGTCAAAAGTAATTAGGGTTTAGGGTTTCGGGTTTTGGCACTTAGGGATCCCTAAACCCTATATGTGCAAGAGAGGAAGGGTTGAAGTTTCTAGCGCGCGAAGATTGATATAGGCATGTGCAAAGCAACGAAGCCCCCTACCCGGAAAAAAAAAAAAAAAAAAA